TGCGGTGTCTAACTGCAGGCCCGGCTTAGTAGGAGACCGAATGGAGAAATGGCAAAGCCGTGTTGACTGGGCAGAAACTGTCTGATTTAAACCAGACACTTGAGCTTGAATGGGGCGGAACGGCAGATTGACCAACTTGAAAAGACGCTCCGTAATAAACGTCGCCTCCGATCCCGAGTCAATCAGAGCGCGTGCTCGGAAGTGGGTACCGAGGTGGCAGATATCAATCATTGCCGTGCCCAAAAGAACTGCCTTTGAGCCTGAGGCAAAACAGACTTGTACATTTGAATGTTCATCTGGAATGTCTGAGCCTCCCGCCGGAGGATAGGCTCTAGGTCTCGCATTCCCAGAGGGACTTGGATTGTTGGAAAAAGGGGTGCCTCGATGCAAAAGCGTGTGATGTCTCCCTCGGCACACGAAACAGCTGTGCGTACTGGAACAATCCCGGAGCTGATGGCCTCTCGCGAAGCAATTCAAACATTACTGCTTCTTTTTTATGTAATTTTCCCGCGCCTCGATTGCCATCTGAATGAAGCGAGGGCACAACCGCACTGGGTGACTCTCTTAAGAGCACAAATCACAGCTCTTTGGTTTCAACTTTGGAAGTTGACGGACCACCAAGACTCTGCTTCATATCCTCAATGGCTTCTAAGGTTCTATACCTATCGCTAAGGAACGCGTTCATCTCATCCCATGTAGGAATATCGGACTTTGATGTAAGGGATTGTTCCCACAGGGACAGGGTCAACCTGGGTAACTTACTGGCGCACAGGTATACCAGCAAGCAATCCCAATTTTCCGTTGATATTTTGGAATGGGCTAATGCTGTCAGGCACCCTTGGATGGTGCTCTGAAGCTCTTTTATGGAGCTCTTTTATGGAGTGGCCAGTTTCGGAATTAACGGAACTCAAGTTAAATAGGAGCTTGAGCTGGCTGTTCACTAAAAGCTGTTAGTTTTCGAAACGGTCTCGAAGCGCCTCCCAAGCGGAAGCGAAACCATCATTAGTGAGCGGGGACTTGGCAACAATTGCCTTTGCCTCGGTGCTCGACATCGGTTGCTGTGAACTGGCTCGGTCAATTAGCTCGCTGAGCTGAACCGCCAGCTCTTCGTACACCGAATAGCAGTATTCGTATTTGCGGTGCAGAGTTGCCGAAATCTCCTCCGCCCCTTCAGTCGTAATACTGGAGATCGTGTCTAAACACGCTTCGAATTCTTTTTCGGCTTTGTCCCATAGCGAGCGGACTTGCTCCTTACGGATTTTGTAGGTGTGGACAGACGGAGGTGACGGTTCTGGAGTTTCAATCGTCGCTCTAAAATGGCTCATACGGTCGGACACCGTGATGAACCGCGCGAGGGCTGCAATTGCAATTTTGTTGCTCATTTTTGCCTGAGAACGAGTTGGTAGCGACTTTATGGACTTGGTCTGGATTTGTGACCTAACTTTAGGCGTGAGCGGACTCAGAGACAATCGTTTCTGATTTCTCATAGGAATAGACAACTTCTTGTCGCCTTCTTGGGTGGCTAATGAAGTTTCGCTCTTTGCCTTCGTTACTGATTTTGGGGCTAGTTGGCTTGAGGTGCGCGCGCGAGAAGATGCGGATAGCGATCGCGTTTTTAAAAAAAATTTATATATCGCAGTGGTAAGTATCCTTGGTATGATTGCAAGCGGTCCGCTTGTGTTTGCTATTAGCGTTGCGGCTCCGGTCTATTTATGGAATATGTGGAAACGGAACACTAGTATAAATTTCAAAGTTTTCGAAAGTTTTCGAGGAAAATAACGATGATTTGGAAATAATATTCTACAAGATATTTGCAGTTGGATGCTGTGCTGCAAAAATGAGCTGTAGGAATTGGAAAAATATATATATTGCACACCGTCACGGCTTGCACAAAAAAAATGTATTTATTTATTTTTATTTAATGGATGTGAGCCGACGGTGTGTGCGAATTAGCGCTGCTGAAATAAATATCATGCAAATTCTGGAAAGTCGTGTCGTGGTAATGGGTTCGGTGGAATCGAGTTATTTTTGGTAATATGTATAATATATAATTATGCATATATTAATATATGTATCTTAATCAGCATGCATCAGGATTATATGTGTGTATATAGTACTTCTTATATTTGGAAATTATAAATTATGTGAACTGTATTGTAAATGTCGACTTCGAAATGTTTGTAGGGTGTACCGCGAAAGAACGTATGTTACGCTACGACTTTTCCCCTTATGTGCATATGTTGAAATGGATATGTAGATATGTACTTACATTAATAAGCATGCATTAAAGTTATATGTGTGTATGTATGGGCGTATGGATATGTGTGTTTGTGGGAACTCAATGATGTATGTGTATAAATTGTAATTTAAAATTATAATTTGTGATAAATTTGGAAATTGGAGTTAATGTGGACTGTATGGTAAATGTTGCTGTAGAAATTTTTGTAGGGTGTACCGCGAATGGAGGTACGTGTATGTATGTATATGTCCGTATGAACAAGAATATGGAAATGGGAAAATATGAAGAAAGAAGCCGGAAAATGGCGACCGTATGAAGATGGAAATAGCAAAACGAAAAAGAAGCCGGAATATGGCGATCGTATGCACAATGGAATGGCCGATCAGACAGATATAAGAAATTGGATTAAAAAAATTGGAAATATCTGGCTGGTCGGCAGAAATGAGTATAAATAAGAACGGTCGTACTTATCTTGAATGATGGAAGAGAAATTTGGGAAAATCCGCCGGTTGAACGCTGGTGCTTGGAACTTCTTCTCCTCTTCTGGAATTATCCGGTCGATGGATCATGAAATGGCGAGGGGCGGCTCTCCAATGGGGTGATTTGTATTGTTCAGGAAAATTAGTTATTTTTTCACCTTACGTAGAATTTATTTCAAAACAAGTTCAACTTCACTTCTTTCTTCGTACACTGGTAGATTAGAACTAACTTAAAGCTACGGGGTGTATGTTTCAAGAAGTCGCTTGGAGAGCGGAGTGGAGACACTTAACAGTGGATTCTACAAAACATTTCGCTCGCTGACCCTTATTTCAACTAATCACAACGCATCGACTTGTTAATTGGCGCTGGTCTGTTTTTCGAAATAATATGGGGCAAATACATTTGGATAGCATGTTGCCAACACTCCAAAACTCCAAACTTGGTTGGATCGTTTCTGGTGGGATGTCGACTACTCAAAATCATAAGTCTGTCTTAGCCGCCACTTGACGCACTTGCTGCCATAGTAAAGCGAATTTGGGAAAATGAGGATTGTAATCCATCAAAGCCAGCACTGTTGCCTGAGGACTTGCAATGCGAACAACTGTTCAAGGAAAACTGCACTATGCTTGGGAATGGTCAATACTCTGTTCGTCTCTTATCCACTTCGGGATTCGAAACTTTAGGTGATTCCTGTTGCCTAGCTCGTCGTCGTTTTAGGAGTTTGGGAGCTAAGCTAGATAGAAACACTGTTCTCAAAGCTCAATATTCGGTTTTTCTCCTGGAGTACATCAACTTAGGCCACATGTCTCTCGCACCAAAGGATCCAACAGTACCACAATTCTTCTTGCCACACCATTGTGTACATAAGCAGGAAATTACGAGCACAAAGCTTCGGGTCGTATTTGATGGGTCTGCTAGAACTACTTCTGGCAGCTCTCTGAACGACTTTCTTCTTGAAGGGCCAACAATTCAGCAAAAAATCTTTATCTTCGCTTCCGGTGTTTTAAAGTTGCCCTCTGTGGAGACATCTGCAAGATGTACCGCTGCGTGCGTGTGTCGCACCCGGATGAATTTTTGCAGTGTATTGTTTGGCGAGAGAAGTCCACGGATGAGTTGAGTGTTTACAAATTAAACACGGTGACTTATGGTACCAAGCCAGCTGCTTTTTTGGCTATAAGAGCCATGCATCAGCTCTCTCATGATGAGGAGGAATCGTTTCCAATTGGAGCAAAAATTGTTCGTAGGGACTTCTACGTGGATGATTTAATCTCTGGTGGCGAGTCAATTGAAGAGGTTAGAGAAATTCGTCGTCAGGTGAAGGAGCTATTGTCGCGAGGCCATTTCCCAATCCAAATTGTGTTCTAATGATGGACGCGCCCTCGAAGGAGAGTCTGACTGCGATAAGGAGAAGCTAATTCAATTTCACGACGGATCAGCTGTTAGCAAGGCGCTGGGAGTAGCCTGGGAACCTTCTTCTGACCAACATCTGTTCAACTTTTCTCAATTATCTGTAAATCATCGAGTCACCAAGCGTATTGCACTTTCAACAATAGCCAAATTCTATGATCCGCTCGGTTTAATAACACCGATTGTCACAAAGGCCAAGATCTTTTTGCAATCCCTATGAATGCTAACGTGGATTGGGATGGCACATTACCAGAGCCTATTCTTTCGTCATGGGGGGAGTTGACCTCTCAGTAAAAATGGCCTCTCGTCAAAATGGCCCTCTCTTCCAAATGCAGTTAAGGATCTTCCAGAATGTCGTTCTGCAGCGTTAGTTGGAACTGTTTGCACTGACATTTCGATCAACGGCGAATTCCTTAACTCTTTTCATAAGCAAAATCTTCACCTTCAAGGAACCGTGTTACCGTTGAGGAGCTCAATTTGCGGACCGTATTTCTTCTGAGGCGCATATAACAGGTTCACTTAGCCAAGGAGTATGGATGTCTTAGCCAGGACAGGCCGTGTCCACAGAATAGCAAGCTGATTTCGCTGAATGCAAAGCCTGGACTACGATACTTAGCATCCGATATTGTTACCCAAGGATCATCCAGTTACCAAGGCAATCATCGTATATTTTCATACAAAATACTTGCACGGACGATCGCAAGCGCTACTTGCCACATTAAGGAAAAGGTATTGGACAATTGGAGGACGAAAGTTCGTGGCTACCGTCATCAAAAAATGAGTCAGATGTTTTCGGATGAAGCCTGTCACTTGGGAGCACGTTATGGGCAGCCTGCCAGCAAATCGAGTTCAGCCTAACCCAGTATTTCATACCATGGGAGTGGATTATTGTGGACCATTTTATCATAAGGCAGAGGTCCGCAACAAGGCGCCTCACAAGTGCTACATCGCCGTCTTCTCTACGAAGGCCACGCATTTGGAAGTCGTCCAGGATCTCACAACGGATTCTTTCATCGCAGCGTTGAGAAGATTCACCAGCCTGAGAGGCACTCCGCGCACTATTTGGAGTGACAATGCGACGAATTTTGTCGGCGCTAAGAGCGAGCTAACCGAGCTGAAGGATCTATTTTTGAGCGAACCCCACACGGCTGCGATAGCTTTCTCCTGCTTAGCTGATGGGATTGATTGGAAGTTCATACCTCCGCGTGCCCCACATTTCGGTGGTTTATGGGAGGCGGCTGTTAAATCGTCCAAATTTCACTTTTATAGACTCATCGGTGCTTCCATCTTGGGCCTCGATGAATTGAGAACTCTCGCTTATGAGATTTCTGCCATCCTTAACTCCCGTCCACTCTGTCCAATTTCAGAAAACGCTGAAAGTCTTGAGGTGCTAACGCCGGCCCATTTCCTGAAAGGCTCCAGCTACACAAGGTTTCCTGAGCCTGATATCACGCATCTCCGAGAAGGCCCCCTCAGCAGATGGGAAAGGGTGACACAAATTCTGGAAGCGGTGGAGCAGCGAGTATTTATCCTTGATGCAAGAAAGGACTAAGTGGCGCGTCGAAACGTCCAGCATCAATGTCGGAAGAATCGTGTTGCTGAAGGAGGACAACGTTCCACCCTTGAAATGGAAGCTGGGGTGCATCCAAGGAGTCGTTCCAGGCGAGGACGGCGTCGTCAGAGTAGCTATGGTCCGTACAGCTAAGGGTCTAGTCAAGAGAGCCGGCGCCAAGTTAGCCGTTCTGCCCATCGATTCCCATTTAGTTGGAGCCCTACTTCCTGTAACGGGGGGAGTATGTTCGGAGCAGCCCGCCAGCGCCTAGTCTAGTGCGCATAGGTGTATGGCTGAACCTGCAGCGCTCTTGCGCTCTCCTCTTTATATTTGTCTTATCTCGCAAAGCTGTCGCGCTACCTATTCAGCGACTACATTTGTAAAACCCGAAAAAATATGAAGCCAGGCTTTCGGCTGCGGCAGTGCAGATTCGACTGGCAGAATAAACACGACACTTACATAAACTGATAAAATTAAAAAGCGTTATTATTACATAACGTGGCATTTTTTGTTGTCTTCCCCCAAACAATCATAATATTTTAATATTTAATATTTTTCACAGCTCCAATTTTTCTTAATAAATTGAATCCAATTAAAAGATCAGATTCTAATCCTTCAATCTCATAAAATAAATGTCTTGTTTCAAATATATTTATAATATGATAACATTTAACTGCTTCTTTGTTTTCCTGTCTATCCTATTTAGACAAGGCCTTCCCCTGTAGGGGTCTGGTCTAAAAAATGATCTTCATTAATATTATTTAATCTGGTTATTTTATTAGCTGGTTGATTTACTGTTCCATTTGGTTCCCTTTTTATACCCGTTACTCGTAGAGTAAAAGGGTATATTGTATTCGTGCAAAAGTATGTAACAGGTAGAAGGAAGCGTTTCCGACCCTATAAAGTATATATATTCTTGTTCAGGATCACTAGCCGAGTCGATCTAGCCATGTCCGTCTGTCTGTCTGTCTGTCCGTCTGTCCGTCTGTCTGTCCGTATGAACGCTGAGATCTCGGAAACTATTAAAGCTAGAAGATTCGCATTTTGCATGTAAATTTTAGGAGTTCCTACGCAGAGCAAGTTTGTTTCAAAATGGTGCCACGCTCCCTGTGACGCTTACAAGCCACAAGCTGTGGCCACAGTTTTGATGATATTATAAAAATTTTAATTGATATGTATTTGTTTCATCAATAAATATCGATTGGCCTAATAAAAGTTTGCCACGCCCACTCTAACGCCCAAAAACCCATTAAACGCTTAAGCCTGGCTAGCGCCTACATTTCCGCCTTTCATGGCGCAATCTAACGGATGACTTTGGAACAGCTGGCCAAGGTGCTCAACAGAGTCAACGTTAATTCTCGATAAGGATTTCTATTAAAGGAAATGGCGATGGTTTTCATTTGTCGATACCGAACTATATCCCAAGAACTATGCAAATCAAATCTAGTTATCCAAATTGGAGGTCTGTGTCAAACAATGGCGTATCTGTGTATCTATGTAAGCATATACATATGTATGTATTTACATTGTACACAGTTGCAATTGCCCGGCAAAGATAACTCCTTTCAAAGAAAGCTATTCGCTATATCCGTTACTCGTGTTGTGCAAACATTTAGACTTTAATATACATAATACTATTTAAGAATGTATGTGTTTAGCCAATAGAAGTATGTATGTTTAATATTTCTAGTCAATTTATTGCACTCAAAAACATAAACATAAACACAGCTGCTGGTGCAGGACAAAAGCTGCCTGCGCTAAAGCAGCGCTGGTGCTGATGATCGTGCTGTAAAGCTGCCAGCACTAAGAGATCGCCGAATTCAAATTGATCATTTGAACTTTTTGTCCTTTTTCCCTGTGGTCACTATAATTCACATTATGTTAAAAAAAAAACAAAAAAAAACACAAGAAGGCATATTTATATTAAGTTGTTTAGCTGAGTAACGGGTATCTAATAGTAGAGGCACTCGACTATAGCGTTCTCTCTTGTTTGAGCTTGAGTTTGCTCTCTATTTTGATTTGTGTGATATTTTTTTATTTTAATGCGTTTTCGGTTTTTAGATGTTTTTTTTTTTATTTTTAATTAATTTGTATTATATTTTTGTGTTCTTGTATTTTTTTTTTGTTTTTAAGATTTCGGTCCACCTTTTTTTTTTAAATTCACCTTTAAATGGATTATTTCATTTATTAATTTCCATTTAATTGTTGTTAACGATCGCTGACACTTTGTTGTGCCGTTAAATAATTAGTTGGAACTTAAATTTCTTGTTATTTAAAAAAATTCAATTTTTTTATTATATTATTTTGGTGATAAACCTTTTATTCTTAAACACTTTAAATGGAAGACATTTTCTGTTTACTTTCTAATTTTTGTCAACCGATCGCGGTCGCGATAAAAATAGGACTGCCTCTTCATTTTTAAATCTAATCCAATGAACCTCGGCCAGGAGTTTTTTTTTTGAACTTTAGAACTTCAATTTATGTTTAGATTAAAAGCTTAAGATGAAACTGTTGCATCTCATTGTGAAATTCAATTATGCTGACCGATGAAATTTGGTGGGAACTTGAAACGCAAAAGGGCGCAATTGATCGGGATTCAAACAAAAGCTGATGTTTACTTTAAATTTGATTTGTTTAACTTAGTTGGGGAGCCAAGATCGGACCTCAAAGCCAAAGGCAAAGACAAAGGCAAATGCAGAGTTTGAAAATATTGTTTTTAAAAGCCATAAGTGGCCTGCTTTCATGGGTTGTATAACTTGCAGACAACCAAATAGAGCACAATTAGAGGCTAATGCAATATTATCAATAATGATGAAATAAGTCTTCTGGTGAAATTCCCGAGAATATAACCAATACACTCATACCAACATCCACATTCATATATTCATTTTGGAATACAACAAAATCATTAATATTTTCAAACAAAATAGTAGAGGTTCGTCCATAAATGGCTTCTAGTTTAATATCGTTTGCCTTTTCACTGGTCATTTCAGAGTACAACATTTTCACGAAACTACGATTAAATATTATTTCCACCTTAACTAATATTAAATATTATTATTAAGAGGACACTCTGTAATTGGAATACCTAGAAAGGCATCTTCTTCTGCACTATGAACTGTAGGTACTAACGAGACAAAAGCTTCGGTTCCTGTTACAAGTGAATCTGAATCTGTTCATAAAGTTTGTGGCCGAATCTGTTTATTGACTATAAACTGTTATGTTTACTCTGGAAAAAGCGTCTGCTTCATAATTTTGTTTGCCTTTAATGTGCTCATTTTCAAATTCGCTTATACTTATTTTCCACTTCTGTAACGTCATGTTTGGCTCTTTTTCATTGTGTAACCAAGCCAAAGGCTTGTCATCGGAAATAATCTTAAACTTTCTACTGTAAAGGTAACAGCGGAAATACTTGGTTGCCCACATTATCGCCAATAATTATTTTTCTATTGCAGAATAATTTGGTATTCATTGAGAGTGCGGCTTGCAAAACAATTTTAATTATGGTCATAGGACAAAAACGACACCTAATGCAAAGTTGTTAGTGTCTGTCTTCAAAGTAAATTTTTTATTAAAGTTTGGTTTGGCTAAATACCATTAGGTGTAATTATATGCCCAAGAAAGTTAGTTTCACGTTTTAGATATTTGAACTTTTTCAATTGTAATTTTAAATTTGCATCTCTTAATTTATTGAAAACCCCAATAATTGAAAGGATGTGTTCCTGTAGTGACGTAGAACAAAATAACGATTTCGTGGAGATAAACTAAGCAGTGAACACCAATTAAATCCTTTAGAATATCATTCATACATCAGTGAAATGTCGCTGGGGCGTTGTACAACCCAAAACGCATTCGAGTATACTCATAGTGCCCGTTTTACGTTGAGAATGCTGTTTTTTCAATTGACTGAGGGTCCATTTTTATCTGATGAAATCCTTTGGCAAGGGCAAGGGTCGTAAAGTATTGATATTTTCCAAAATTGTCCAATATTTCGTCAATAGGAACTGGGAACTTGTTGTTAATAGTAATTTTGTTTAAGTGACTATAATTGATAATAAACAAAATTTCTTTGTCCCCGAGCCATCATCTTTTTTTGGGACTATCCATACTTATTAATTCTTATATTTGCTCCTCAACCTCATCTCTATAAATATCTGGGTACTTGTATGGTTTTACATAGACAGGGCTTTCATGTTTAGTTTTTATTACATGTTTAATGGAATGTATAAAGGGAAAATTGTCACCTTCAACAAAACCTTTATTTTTTTATTAAGAGCATTATTGATTTCCCTTCTTCACTATTTAGATGACTAAATCGAATTTTATTAGAATAATTGATTTCTTTGTTAAGAGCATAATTAAAGTTATTATCCTCTAATTCCTCGTCCAAATTTTTTACTTTTTAATTGGAATACAATTTTGGTTAATTTATTTCTTTAAATCGCATGGTAAATGATCATTGTAATTATGTTTTTTATAGGTGCTATTAAAAATTAAGTTATTTAATTTTACATATTCTTCTTTGAAGTTTATATGGGCCTTACTTAATTCTAGTATATCTCTTCCATAAATAGTTTGCATAAATAGTTTTGAATTTTCCAAGTTTGCTAGTTAAATGTTTGGCGTTTATTTCTCGTGCAGTAAAATTACTTCTCCTATAATTGCAAATATTACTTTGGGGCTTGTTTCATGCTACAGAAAAATATTTAAAATTTTTGTAAAAGTCCGTTGCTTTGACTCGCTTGTATTGACCAAAATCTGACATACGTTTTTTTGATGATTCTGAAATTCGCAAGGCCTAAAATTGGTTGAATTAGCTTGTTGTTGAATGCTTCTGTTATCATAATTTTTTTGGAACCTGTTGTTGACAAATCTATCGTTTCTAATTTGCCCAGACTGATTTCTAAAGTAACTTTAATTTTGGACTTGTTGTTTATTCTGTGGATACTTATAATTATTATTTACATTTTTAATCGGATTCTGATGTATTGGATGAAACC